ACAAGACCCCAATGGCATCTATGTCAGATTGATGGAATTGGATGATGATTTATTGGCAGAAACCAACAAACAGAAGCAGTGGTTTACACGTCTTGGATATTACGCCATGGAGACTGAAAATGCAGATGAATCTGTGACTTGGTACGATACACTGTTTCAAGTCAGACAGCCAAAGCCATCGAAAGACAAGAAGGAAGACAGTGTGCCAACGACTCCCAAGACACCTACAGAAAACATGCAGCAACTGCCATTGAGAAAACAAGGTGCTGTTTTGACTGTCAAACAAGCCATTTCCAAACAAGTTGGATTCAGACTCGTTGACATGGACACTTTTCTTATCGGACTCTTGGAGACTGTGTTCTATTGGATGGGCAACGACATGCGCTCCAATTCATCTTGCTTGTGCTTTAACGAAGTGGGAATGGCAGATGCCAAACTGCCACTGACAAAGCACAAGGAGTCTAGCAATCTCATTTCCATTGGTTCTTATGCTCATGTCAGGATTTGAAGTGCCGTCTTTGGAATCAGTCATCAACAAACTCAAGAACGAGACAAAGGATGATCTGATTTGGGACAAGTTTAGACTCAAAATGACACGTACAATGCTTTATACTAGATGCTGGAGTGATTGCTCGCTTCAAGGACAAAATCAACGGCATATGGTTGGATTTGCTGTGTACAAAGACAAATGCAGATGCACCACCAGCACAAGTGCAGCAGAAGCCAAAGCAAGAAGAGAGCGTCAAGATAGCAACAGATTATGTTGTCAATCTGCATCATCTGAAGGGACATGCCAGGACACTGTCTGAAGGAGCCATCAAACTCGTGAATGGCTATGGTGGCTATCTCTTGGAACATGGCAGTCCAGTCAAATCCAAAACAGAAGACAGACCGATTGAGGACGATGACTACAGTGCAGAAGTGAGACCTAAGAAGACACTTCAAGTGATGAAAGATCTCAAGTTGATTGAGCAGTTCCTGAAACGCAAAAAGTCTGGATCTTGTATCTTTTAGCCTCTTCAGTGTTGGATGGTACCATCTGCCACTGATTCCTCAGTAAAGTCAGTGGTTACATCATTGGAGGCTGGACCATCTTGCTCCACTGCACTCTCATTTTCACACACCGATAGATGCCTTGCCAAATGACTGCTCTTGACAATCAGAGTTTACTGCGGCTGACTTTGCAAGTCCTGAAGAGCAGACGACAATCCACCATCAAGAGTTACAAAAGTGTTCTCAGCAATTTCATCTGCTGGTCCAAGACATCCTCTCCTTCTAATGCGTTAATCTGAGCCTCCAATCCAGGATCCAAGGATTCAGGGAATGTGAATTGTGGTGGTTGGTATGGATAATTGAATGGAATGGAAATCTTCAGATGCACCGAGACTGTTGTCAAATGAATTACCAGTCAAGTTCAAGTCTCCTTTGCACACCAATTGATTGTCGTCTGTGAGCATTTCAAAATTCAAGAGTTGTCTCTCCAAGAGATCGACGGCGTCTCTCAAGATCTGCAGGCGTTGTGTCAGTTTCTCCAAAACATTGGGAAACGAGGGAATCTGGTATGAAGAGGGATAATCAATGCCACTGATGGCTTGTGCCCATTGGTAAGCCAAGCCTCCAGCACTCGATGGTTCAAAGTCTGAAATCTTGGGATTGGGTGAATCCAAGCCTTGGTCATCAAAAATAGCAAGATAAGATGTGGGAAAGACAGACTGAATGCTTGTGATCACGAGTGTTTGATCTGGCAAGTAGTAAAACTGAAAGACTGCAGATCCAATCAACAATTCTAGACCTAAAGCATGTCTAGGATAGTGTTCGTTCTCTGTAGCATCAATAATTCTGACTGTTTGATCCAGACCAAGACAGCGTTTGTACAAAACAAACAGCGGCTCTGGCAACAGTGATGCTTGCTCACTTGTTTGAAGCTCTGACAGATCAATTCCTAGTTTTGTTTGCAGATCTTTGGATTGCTTGATCAGATATTGGACTTGGTTGTCAATGTGCTCCAATTGTCGCTTCTTTTGCTGTGTCAGGTCTATCCACTCTTGCTTCTTTCTCTTGCATTCATTCAATCGTTCGATGTAACCCAGTCTTGACTCCTTTTCTCTCTTGAGTTGCTCCATCATCTCAGCGTGTTCCATGTCCATGAGACCCAATCGCTTGAAAACAGGTTCATAGTCTCTACAGAGTCTGATCTGCTCCTTGAGATACTCTTGCTCAAACTGCAAATTGGAAATCTGCAACTGTTGAGAATCCAACTCTTGTTTCCTGTTGTTGATCTCTTGCTTCTGTTCTAGATTGCTTGTGATGCTGTTTCTATGCTTTTTCAAAAGTTGTAGAAAGAACTGGTCCAAATTTTGACCAAGATCCATTTTTCCACCAAGTTTAGGAAAGAGCGATTTTCTTTCACAGAATCTGCATTCAATGTCAAGGCAAGACTGGAACTACGAATATGGAGACACTATTGAACCTACAATACCCTTCTTCTACAAACCTCGCAACCTCACACTCTTAGTTCTGTCAATTCTGTGTATTGTTGGATTTGGATTCTACTATGAAGGCACACAGGAGCAAAACACCAAACTTGGAGTCTTGGGAGCCATTGTACTCATGTGCCTGGTTGGCCTACTGGAATTCAAGGATGGTCCGTTCATTCGCCCACATCCAGGCATTTGGAGGATTATTTTGAGTTTGGGGATTTGCTACGAGATGGCACTCTTGTTCTTCCTCTTTCAGACCAAGGACGATGCCCGGCAACTGTTCAAGTTCTTGGATCCAAGTCTTGGAGTCAGATTACCCGAAAAGAATTATGCAACCAACTGCGACATTACATTAGAGACGTTATATGATCAGATGGATGTGTTTGTGATTGCTCATTCTCTTGGATGGCTGTGCAAAGCCTTGATCATCAGAGACACTTGGTTACTTTGGATTTTGTCTGTGTTGTTTGAGATTATGGAGTATTCTCTCGAGCACCAACTGCCAAACTTTGCAGAGTGCTGGTGGGATCATTGGATTCTAGATGTCTTTACTGCCAACTGGCTTGGCATCTGGTTGGGCATGAAGCTCTGTGACTACTTCAAGTTCAAGCAATACTCTTGGAGGAGTGTGCTCTCGATTCCAACTGTCGGTGGCAGGATCAAGCGCACTGTTCAACAGTTTACACCTCATAGCTGGACACCATTCGCTTGGGAAGTCAAGACCTTTAAAGGCTTCTTGGCAGTCTCGGCACTGATTGTTTTGGAACTCACGACAGAGCTCAATGCTTTCTATCTCAAGTATCTGCTCTGGATTCCAGTCTCGTCTTCCTTGAATCTGTACAGACTCTTGTTTATGTTCCTACAGTGTCTACCAGCCACTCGTGAAGCTTACCAATTTCTGTCAGATCCCAAATGCAAGCGTCTGGGGATGCATGCCTGGATGACCATCGTACATTCATTAATCTTAGCTCATTATCGTCACAGAACTTGTCATCTGCATCAAATTCTCAAAAGGAGAATTCCCTAACCCAACACCAGTCCATGTCACAGTCTTTTGGACTCTGTCACTCTCTGGACTTGGTTTGTATTGCTTTTGGCGCTACTATCTCCATCCCTCCGCAGAAAAGCCAAAGAAGGAGTAAATCTTTACTTTTTCAAGAAACAATCTGAACACATGGGATCTTGTTCCACCACCTTGCAGTTCGAGTCCAGAGATTTGTTGCATTTCACGCATTTCAAGCACTGTCTATGCCAACTCATTGCAAATGGACCAGGCACCTACTATCAAACGATGTACTTGATCTGCAGGGTACACAGTTTTGGTGCATCTTGGACACTTGTTCTCAAACTTCAACTCTTTGAGCTTTTCAGACAGTTGCTGTCCAAACTCTTGTGTTCTCGTTTCCTTTTGTCCAGTTTTTGGGTTGATGGTGAATCCTGGTTCTCTTTTTCTGGCTTCTTGACGTGCTTGGTCTCGCATGAGTGATTCGAGACATCCAGCACACATGATCTTGTCTTCGTGTTTTCCAAATTGCTGTCCTTGGAGTGTTTGACGACACTGGTTGCACGTGAAGCAATCTGCGTGATAGGACTTGCCTTCAAATGAAAGATACTTGCCACTCATTGGTTTTTGGCATTTAAAGCATTTCTCTACATTCTCTTGCAGGCAAGATGGGTGAAAGATACCCTTTTCAGTGCGTTTGAAGCCTTCTTGGTTGTCGATTGGTGTCTTGCATGCTTGACAGACCAAACACTGTGCATGGATCAGCTTTTCATCCAATTTCAAGATCTTGTCTTGTGTGCCCAATGCCTTGTTGCAAGCAACACACAATTCGCGCCCGTTTGAGTTGATGATGATCTTGTCTTTTGGAATGTGCTGAAAGACATTGCTGTTTGAGACAGTCTTCTTCTGCTGAGTGAGTGTTTGTGAGCAATCGCCACAGATGATGGATTCGTCTTTAAGAGAGAATGGGCCTTGGATGGGTTTGGAGCAGGTGTGGCATTGGAAGCATTTGGGATGCAACAGCAGTCTTTCTACACTGATGGCTTCACCAAAGATGACCTCTTGACAAACGCTACATGATTTACCAGCGTAACATTCCTTGTGGAACAACTGGTTGCCTTCTCTTACCCACTGCTTCTGTCCACTGATGGGTTTCTGGCATTTGGAACAGGCTCCTTTGCTCCATCTGACTCCAAAGCAACTTTCACAAAACGGAAGCCCTTCTTCTGGTCCATGCAGTCCGGGATACACTGCATCTGCGCTTTTGAGCTGCTTTTGACATCCAAAGCATTTCAGATCCACTTTTGAGTCACCTAGCATGCGTTTGAGGCCATTCTCGACACCAGCTCTGAAGCCACCAGACAGATACTGGTCTGGAAGTTGGCTTGGTTTGTCAGAGATGGGAACAATAGACACTTTTTCGCCTCCGCATTGGCATCTGCCATCCATCTCGCCACATTGTTTGCAAAACATCTGGGAAAGTCTGCAAAAGTTATAATAAAAATGGAAAAGAGAAGCTCCCTGACGGGGAATCGAACCCCGGCCGCAACGGTGAGAACGTTGTATCCTAGCCACTGGACCATCAAGGAGATGACAATGTACTCACTTGCAACAATAGATTGTTAATAATCATATTGTTTTACTTTCTTCCTCTGTATCAATGATGAATGAATAAAAGTTTGATACTTTTGTGGAATCACGGAAAATCTTTGCATGTTGTTGAGAATCCGATCACCAGTGGGACAAGCAAGGATCGACGTGCAATCAAACATCAGTCTGGATCAGTTGAAGCAAAAGATTGTAGACGCAGTCAAATGTGATCCTGCTTTTAGTTTGGGCATGGATCCACAAGGCAAACAACCTGTGAATGTGGGACAGTTGAGGTACAAGGGCTGAAAGGAGACATGGAGATCTGATTTATGTGATCCAGGGTGTGAAAGTGGAATCAAAGCCAGTGTCAGCAGTGTTTGTGCAGCAGTTGCCCCTGGACAATCAGTTGGAAAACAAGGATGGGTCGATCAAGAGAGAACGTGATGCACTGTATTGCACACATCCTCCAGGAGGCATGTGTGACTACTGTATGCCCCTGCCGCCTTACGACGCGAAATATCTTGAATCTCAGAAGATCAAGCACATGTCCTTTCACAGCTACCTGAGACAGATCAGAGAGAGTGGCAAGATCCCACCACCCTCTAGTCCACAGTTTATTCCACCCCTGGATGAACCATCGTTCAAACAGCTGGATCCATGTCCTTCGAAATCACATGGACCATATCCAGAAGGCATTTGCTCCAAGTGTCAACCATCTGCCATTTCTCTGCAGAGTCAGAACTTTAGAATGGTTGATCATGTCGAGTTTGAATCACCAGCGATCGTGGAGAGTTTTCTACAGTACTGGAGACAGACTGGATCCCAGCGATTTGGATATCTGTATGGTCGCTATGAGCAGTATCCAGATGTGCCGTTGGGTGTCAAAGCAGTCGTCGCGACTATATATGAACCACCGCAGGAAGCAGCACACGACTGGATTCAGCTACAGCTACCAGATCCAAACGAAGCAAGTGTAGAAACAGTTGCAAAGGCACTTGGATTGGTCAGAATTGGCTGCATTTACACTGACTTGTTTGACGATGGCACTGGAAAGGGAACTGTCGTTTGCAAGAGACATGCAGATTCATACTTTTTGTCGTCACAAGAGTGTATCATGGCTGCACAGATGCAACAGATGTATCCAGTACCAAGCAAATACTCTTCAACTGGACAATTCGGCAGCAGATTTGTGACGTGTGTGATTTCTGGAAATACAGAGAACCAGATCGATATCATGTCTTACCAGGTCTCTAATGCTTGTGTGGGGATGGTCAAGGACGGGATTATCGAGCCAACAGTCAAGCCACAATTGATGCGTGTCAAGCCAACGTCAAACGATCAGTATATCCCAGAAGTGTTTTATACGTACAAGAACGAGTACAATCTGCAAGTGCGATCGACTGCAAAACCAACCTTTCCAGTCGAATATCTGCTTGTGACTGTATTTTCATTTACCATAGTCGACACATGGGTTCCCACAAAAGCCATCACCTACTTTTGTGAGCTCTAGCTTCCCGATCGAGAACAGAATCATTGAAACCAACAGGAACATGCGCACGCTCAAGGATGCGATGAAGCAGAGTCCGCTTTTGGACAAGCTCTCTGACTTTCATCTGCTCTTGTTTCTGTACGAGTCTTCCATCTTTGATCAGGTACAAATTCTAAGTTCAGCCCACTTTTGAGCACTTGTGTCAAGCAGTCGCAGACAAATCAGCAGATAAGTTGATTCAAGTCCAACAAACACCAGCATGGGAGACGTTTGGAATGATTCTGCAGGATCTAGAAGAGGAGAGACACGATTCGTGGTCTTGTCGTCACTGCACGTATGTCAACAGTCGTGGCAATGAATGTGAGATGTGTGGTCTCCCCAAGGATTAAACACTCCTCTTGGCTTTTCTGATGACATGTAAGACGCGTTACACACTCCCAGTGCCTTTAGATGCACTCTTACCCACTCCAAACCACAGGCTATGGGTAACTGATAGGTTTACTGCGGATTGAGTTTCATGAGATCTTGAATTGTTTGAATCACCAATTTGATGTGTGCCTTGATCTCTGCTGCCTTGTCTGTGAGCTTATCGGCTTGCCTCTGCTCCAAGAGACATCGCTTTTCAACAAACGCATTCACTTCGTCTTTTGTCATTTCCAGAAAGATGCCATCCAACAATTTCATCAAAACCAAGTCAGATTCAAGCACAGCATCCATAAAAAAGTCACATCCCACATTCATCCTTGTCTTGGAGCCTTTCTCTAAAAACAGTTGGTGTTGCAGCTTCCTGTACTCTGAAATGACATCAAAGTGACGATCCCTCTTTTCTAGTACTTTTTGCAAGTCGTCTTGCAGTCTGTACACAAATTTTTCATATTGTTGCATTATTGGCAAAGTGTGTTGACATCATCTTTCCTATCGCTTCATGAGCGAACCTAAAAAGAAAATGATCTTTCGGGCAGGGGAAGCCATCCCTTACAAGCCATTGGCTGACCCCTCACTGGAAGAGTACTTTTCTCGTCCAAATGTCAGAAAGCATCTGATGAATAACGGATGGGCATTGCTGTTGATTGTAGTTTGCAGAGTATGCCGAGTGTGCTGAATGCGGTCTCACAGACAGAGGACCAATCAAGATGTGCTCTCAGTGTGCGCATTTCTATCACGTTGCGTGTTTGCCAACCTATCCGCTCTCCAAACACAAGCGCAATGTCTGTATTTTGTATTATGTGACAAAGCATGTCGATATAGAGATGCTCAAAAACCTCTTACTGGAGACTGGGCATTTCAACAAAGTCGATCTTATCAATGTCGACACGCTGCACAAAGAAAAGAAGCTACACTCTGAGATCTTGAGCCAGTATGATGCCTGTCTGGTGACTGCGTTTATGGGTGGCAGACACGAAAAGGAAGGCTGGCCTGAACAAGATGCTTTGGGTGACCTTTTGGCAGAGCAAGTCTTGAAGACTGAAGAGACAAAAAGGAAGCACTGTGGTATTGTCGTTGGTCCATTGACTCACTGGCAAGTCATTGGTGGCAACTGGCGCAAACACAAGCTTTCACCGCTTTTGCCAGGCAGACTCAAAACCACTCCTCATCTGGTCATGGGCAAGACCTCTGGACCAACACATGCTGTCTTTGAGAACGTGAATTCGTTTGCAGGCAGTGACCAATCTTATCACGTTTCTGCTGCTCTCAACGAAGCTGGAGCCAGGACACTCGTCAAGTGGTCTGATGGCTTCCCACTTGTAGCAGTTTTGGATGACCATCCACATGTAGACAGAGGCAAAGTCATCTCGATCAACTTTATGCCCATTCCTCAAGCCAATCTCAGAGACAAGTCTGGCGAAAAGAAGACCGTCTCCTTTTGGGGTATTTGATTTCATGGTAGACATGTCGTCTGATGGCATCCACTTGCTTGCCAATTGTTTGCGTTTTGTCGCACAGCCAACGTACCAAGACAGCGATTTGGATCTGATTTGTCATTCATGCTCTCGACCAAAAGCAAAGGGCAAATCCAAGCACAATGGTGAACTCATTCGTGGTCAGCCGTACAAAGACTCCATTCTGGCGGATGAACAAGAGCTCGCACTCTTTCAAGAAAAGGTCAAGGCGCTCAAAAACACTGGCGACACCATCACACTGTGGAAAGAGCGATTCAGGATCAAGTTCAGAGAGCAGATCATGTTTTCAGAGAGCAAAAAGTTGACCATTCAATCTCGTTTGAATATTCCAAGATCTTCCATGGCTCCCAAACCAACGTTTAGAGATATCGATGCTGAAAAGAAGAGAAAGGAAGAGCGGATTGAAAACGCTGCCATCAAGATTCAATCCATGTTTCGTGGACACTTGACGAGAAAAACCATCAATGGAAAAGAGCCGAGTATTCCTGGAATTCCCAAGAACTACAGTTTGCATGCCATCAATGACGACAGACCATCAGTCAAGAGAGACAGTGAGCGATCAGAGTCAGATATGAAGCAACTACAGAAGAAACCATCCAATGTCCAAGAAGTCCAAGTGGAAGAAGCAAACAGTCAGGTAGATGTTGGAGGTAAATGAATTGATAAAAGGGCATCGTGTCCAAAGTGCAGCAGCACCAGATGGTCAAGAGCTGCCGCCGATTGAAAAGAAACAGCGACCAAAGAGGGTAGACTGCTTGACAAGAGGGAGAGCATGAAGCTGAGAGGAAGCGTATTTTGGATGAAGCCAAGCGAACTCATCAACGTGAATTGGTAGATCGAAAGCCCAAATCAAGCGAAAAGACCAAGCTACTTCCATTGAACACACCAAAGGGCCAATCCAACAAGCGACCTGTGACAAGAGGAGACAATCGACCAACTACCAGAGCTGAAAAGCGTCCAGTGACAAGAGCAGACAAACGACCAGTGACGAGACAAGAAAAGAAACTGCCAGAACTGGATACATCCAATAAGGATGAGATCAAACCACTTGATGGCTGTGAACCAGCACCACCAATTACACCAAATCTGGTGATTGAATCTCGCTCACACTCGATGCAATCTATTGCCTCTTCACCGGATTACTCTCTCAATGTCCTCAACTTTGGCAGTCAGAGCAAAATCTCACTCGAGAGTCCAGCACAGCCAATACCAAGACGTGGATCGTTTGATTCGAGAAAGCAAGAAGAGACAAAGAGAGATTCAAAGACACTCAGAAACTCTGAATCGATTGCCTTGGCTGGATCTGCATATGTCAGGAGAGTTTCTGTCGATCACATGCAGGAGACTCCCATTGTCTTGCGTTCAGATATCGGAGCCAGTCAGCCAAAGATCCAATGGTACTAGGGAGTAAACTTTTCAATCAAAAGACGCGTGTATCAGCAGATCTGCTGACGGATGGAGACACTTTTCACACCGTCTGTCTCAAATTCACTGCACTGAGATGACAGATGTTGAGCCACGGTGGACATTGGCGCGTGATCTGAAATTCTTCACATGCTTCGTAGTGTTTCTCGCACAGTGTTTCGTCGCTTTTCGACTCAAAGACTCA